TGTATGTATGTATCGTATTTTTCTTTGTTTAGTGAAATAATTTGGATTAATGAAAGCGAACCGAATGTTGTTACATCATCTATCAAACAAAATGTACACAAGTAAATTGGTAGTTTATTGTGAGTTTAATGTTGTAGTGCCAACACACTGGAATCATGCATATGCTGTAAATGACGAGATGTTGGATACTCCAGTATCTGGAAGAGATCTCAGTCTTGTTGCAAGTCACATCGGGATCGGGTTCGAGTCTGTTGGCATCGAACTTGGACTTACTCTCGTGGTTATCGAACAAGTCACGTTTGCACACCCTTATTCACTATACATGCAGGTTGTGCACATGCTTACAAAGTGGAAGGAGAAGAACGGGAGAACTGCAACCAGCCTGGTCCTTGTCAGAGCACTGTGGAGATGCAATGACAGGTGCACCATTGAGTGGGAGGACATTCTCAACATCCTTCAGGGACCGTCCACTGTGTCTGTGTAATCATGTCGGAGAGATGTTTTCACCTGACACTGTCTTGCTTTACGCTGTGAATACACGAGTGGGTATATACGTAATGCTTCACTGAGTTTCCCCGACCACATACAGAGAAATCATGCCTACATTTATGTTTTCTCATATACGAGCGCTGCACTGAACACTCTTCTCATGTACAGTTATCATTGATTCATTGGGTTCCCGATTTGAAATATCGAGTCGAGATGCTAGGTTCACTGAGGCTTTTGTACATAAATTGGGATCCTGACTGATCTGATTGATTTTCTGTTTCCTCAAGTTGCACACTGAACACTCTTCATTTGAACATTATTTTATTTTCCGTTTGTAATACATTGTGATTTTATTTGTATGTGTTGAGAATAAATGCTTTTAATAAATAACTGTGATGCCTTTTGTAATAACTTGTCTTTCTGTCGCTTGTGATATTTGAGGAAGAACTAGCGAGGGATGATTACATGCGCCCTAAACGTGATCCGTAATCCGAAAATCCGGAGACATAATTGCGTCTCACAATATGATTTGATTTTACAGTGTCCCGTCACGATTGAACAGTCAAAATATTTGTGTTATGTTGTTCCAAATGAGCTGTTTCTCTGTTGTCTCTTATTTGGAACAATTTCACAAGGGTTTGCCGGTCGTAGAATCTTGCTGATTGATTATGGACGACAATCAGTGTTCTACTTTCTATAGTAGGTGTATTATAGTCCTGGTTGGAAGTTTGCAAATACTGGTTATGGGCGGTAGTGGTTCTCGGGTATGAAATCAAATAGAGATGATACCAGAAGTTCGCAAAAAGGTATTTTGTCCCACTGGTGGCACCCGTCACAGACAAGGAAATGGCTATCCTATCCAGTCTTCTACACTTTTGCCATAAAACATTTGGACAATTAGTGACTGCATTCATATCTATGCACCATTGCAACAGAGTTGTAGGGATGACAAATCTAGTTGTTTCGAACATCCGATTTTATGTATTCAATAATATGCTCCCCTACATTCTACAAATATCTTGACAAAGTATTCGAATGACAAACATACAAGTCATATTCTCAATAATAGAGAAGCCTGAAACACTGTCACTTTTTTATGCATAGAAAAGATGAAATAGTGATGAAAAGTATATGAATGGATCACTGGAAATCAGTGATGACACCAGGTATTCCACAGAATGATTAGCATGTAATGCTCTACCAGAAGCACCCGCCACACTCATAAAATTCATAAAAGATGTAAGCTGTTTGATGTTGCCAAATGCCGCCACCAGCAATACTCCTGACATATCACAGTGGCCTGTAAAGTATCGAGTCTCGACCAAAGAATCCAGGGATCACTATCATGAGCAATGATTCACGTCGTCGGGTTACCACTTCACGCTGTCAACCAAGTCAAAAAGCATGACCACCCGATCCATTTAAGTAAGTGGGTAAGAAGGTGTGAAATCTCCATGTAAAGGTCATAGTATGGGATAGAATTGAAAATCACTTTGATAGGCAGCATGTCATATTTCGTAAAAAAATCTACCTAATTTCCTACTTCTGGAATGACTTGATCAGGCCTATGATGCCGAACCTTGATTTAAGTTTAGCTTAGTTGTAAGAAAAATGTGTGTTTCCAGGAAATTTAATGATATGCACATGCGTTTAAGTACATAAGCAACAGGGAAATGTAGATGACATGAGTTGAAGCTGAAGGCATATTATTCCACGTGACATTCACTTTGAAACATCACTAGAACGAGATGTTTGTATAGTTTGTCCCATTTCTACACTAATGTATGTCACATATGCATTTTATCCCTTGGGTTCAATAACATTGTCAAAAGCGGGAGTTTAAGATGTTACTTCATGTAAAATACCTGCACTCTAACTATGAAAACCATTGAAATGAAATACTATTTACTTTGTACCTTTTCGACAAAACAATCTCAGCTTCAGGGTATAGGACAGAAGTAGTCGAGACCCGGTACAAGAGACGACAAGAACGTTTACTTGTCGGCGGCGATTGTGACGTAGCTAGTCCGAAAATCCGACACAGTCAATCAGAGATTCTCCGTTCCAACTGGATTTATTCACGTATCTATTCAAAAATATCAATGCATTTCAGAATAGTTATTCAATTGTCAGTTATTTAATAATAACACATGTCAAAATTCCATAAAAAAAATATCAATGCATTTCAAAATAGTTATTCAATTGTCAGTTATTTAAGATCCGACACATGCTCTGCAATAACCAATGCGCACTTCAGCGCCGTTACCTCAGTACCATATCTAAAACATATTATGTTGAGTCTATTTGGCTAATGTGACATTGGTGTATACTGTAACCATTTTTCGATATTTCTCTTTGTAACCAGTACATTTAATTGAACAGGACGATATATTTGCAGATATTCCTTTATTATTACCCAGATATTCCTTTGTAACCAGTACATTTAATTGAACAGGAGGAAAATATTAGAAGATATTCCTTGATTATTACCCATGTCGCTTTTATCAAAACTTGATGTATAGAAAATAGATGTGAGATGATTCAACTGCTGTACGTACACATCGAGGTCAATTAAACAGTAGAAGGTTCCGCTTTCGCAATCAGTTCAAGTGATTTTCTTCGCTATGTTGTTATATCCCATTGAGCTCTCAACGCAAAATGACCTGCTAATGTGTATAAGTTCATATCATATTATGTACTATTGAAAAGCAAACACATTCACGTGTATTGGTGCACGAGACGATTTACTTTGGTTAACAGCATGCTTGTCTCATTTCTCCTGTGTGCCAATCCACACCACCACTATTTTTCCTCTTATGCAGCTATTCATGCTTTCACGCCCATTAAGTATTTCCTGGATATGAAAACATGTGATCCTTTTCAAATTTCAGTTTTGCGAAGGAAACATTCTGCAGAAACATCTTCATGAAAAGTTTGAAGTTGTTGTTTGTCTTTTGTTCGTTCAAACACACACACAAACACGAACAGACGAACACACACACACACACAAACACGAACACACACACACACACACACTCACATACTCACTCACACACACATACACACAGAAACACTATTTTATCTGTATGTATGCCAAATGCCGATACCAGCAATACCCGAGTCTCGACCAAAGAATCCAGGGATCACTATCATGAGCAATGATTCACGTCGTCGGGTTACTACGCCACGCTGTCAACCAAGTCACCAAGCATGACCATCCGATCCATTTAAGGAAGTGAGTAAGGATGTGTGAAATCTCCCTGTAAAGGTCATAGTAATTATAAGGGATAGAATTGCAAATGACTTTGACAGGTAGCATGTCATATTTCGTAAAAAAATTACCTTATTTCCTATTTCTGGGATGACTTGATCAGGCCTGTGATGCTGAATCTTGATTGAATTTAAGCTTAGTTGTAAGAAAAATGTGTCTTTCCAGGACATTTGAATGATATGCACATGCGTTTAAGTACATAAGCAACAGGGAAATGTAGATGACATAAGTCGAAGCTGAAGGCATATTGGTCCACGTGACATTCACTTTGAAACATCACTAGAACGAGATGTTTGTATAGTTTGTACTATTTCTACACTAATGTACGTCACATAATACTAACATTATATCCAGGAACACTAACGTGGATGTTAAGTGCTTTTTACCCCCTGGGTCAATAACATTGTCAAAAGGGGGAGTTTAAAATTTTACTCATGTAAAATACCTACAATATAATTATGAAAACAACTAAAATGAAATACTACTCATGCTGTACTTTTCGATAAAAAAAAAGTATAGGACAGGCGTAGTCGATCGGCAAGTCAATCAAGAGGCGACAAGAACGTTTACTTGTCTTGTGACTTAGCTAGTCCGAAAATCCGACACAGTCATTTAGAGATTCTCTGTTTCAACTGGATTTATTCACATGTCCATTCAAAAATATCAATGCATTTCAGACTAGTTATTCAATTGTCAGTTATTTAATAATAACACTTCATCAACTGTAACGTTAGTATCATATCTAAAACATAATATATTGAGTCTATTTGGGATAATGTGACATTGTTGTACACTATAGCCATTTTCTATATTCCTCTTTGTAACCAGTACATTCAATTCAACAGGATGAGAGTATAGCAGATATTCCTTTCTTATCACGCATGTCACTTTAATCACAACTTGATGTGTAGGTAGTTGATGTGAGATGATTCAACTGCTGTCTGTACAGCCTTCACAATCAGTTCAAGTGAAGCTCTTCGCTATGTTGTTATATCCCACTGAGCTCTCAATGCGAACTGACTCATCACACACACACACACACACACACACACACACACACACACACACACACACACACACACACACACACACACACACACACACACACACACACACACACACACACACACACACAAAAAAAACACACCAAAAAACAACAACACAAAACCAAAAAAACACACACACACACACACAGCCTAAAGACGTTTCCGCTAACTAGTTGACATTGTGAAGTGAATGTACAACAAGTCGGATTTTCGGATTTATGATGTATAGCATGCATTACCTCTCAGTCTTCTTAGTTGCTACACCCTGGGAAAGACCTCGCGTTCTCGCGTCTTGCTTCAATAAACGCCCGTCGATAAACTCGCGGCCGCTTATCTGCAACAGTAATTTTTGTCGACAAGTTTAGGGAAATCCCCTTCACAAAGCCTACATATAAAGAGCAAGCGATTGAACGGACAGCAGATCAGTAAAGCAGAGGGTAAAACGTATGTACAGAGCCGACAATGGGGAATTATGTGTCATGCTGGTCCGGATTTGGGTATCGGGTAGGTGAACTTTAATTATTAGAAACTAACGAGCTCATTGTTTGCATGTCGATGTGCACGTTTGTGGTTGCATGGTCTTATACAGTCTGTCTTTATTTCTGTGTGTGTGTGTGTGTACGTGCGTGCGCGCGTGCGTGTGTGCGTGTGTGTGTGCGTGTATGCGTGTGTGTGTGTGTGTGTGTGTGTGCGTGCGTGCGTGCGTGCGTGCGTGCGTGCGTGTGTGTGTGTGTGTGTGTGTGTGTGTGTGTGTGTGTGTGTGTGTGTGTGTGTGTGTGTGTGTGTGTGTATGACAGCACGAAAAGTATATATGACATAAGCTTGCAACATTTAATTTTATACATGACATGTGATGGTATAAACATCTCCCTTCCAGAGACTTCACCAGCCACACACCCAGATGATCCGTTCATATAATCCATTGGTCACATTGACAGGTTCGTTTATTTAATGTCATTGAATATGTCCTTTTCATCTTGATCAATTTGATTATGTTAAATATGCAATATGAACGTCGCATAATATCTTAAGTACACATATGCTATACTGTAGACGTGGAGAGAATATGTATTCTCCTCTGCATATATTAAGATGTACTATGTCTCGCAACATACTTTCCGTATCTGTTCTGATTTGTAAGGTGTTTGTTAAAATGTAAGTTTGTAAAGACAAAAACAAAATTACTCAAAACGCAAACTCATCTATAATTTTCATTCACATTTTTTAAATCATAAAACGTGATGTTAATTTGTTTTGTAGGCCCTGTAAATGAGGAAAGACTGAGAATCCCTGTTTCTCAGAAAGGTGTCAGCTTGGTGGCAAATCATATTGGGATCGGGTTTGAATCTATTGGAATCGAACTTGGACTCAATCTTGTGGTGATCGAACAAGGCAAAGTTTCACACCCAACTTCACTTTATATGCAGACCTTACACATGCTCACCAAGTGGAAGGAGAGGAATGGCAGATCTGCCACTGGCCTTGTGCTCGTCAGAGCGTTGTGGAGATGCAGAGGTAGATGTACGCTCGAAATGGATGCCATACTAAACATTCTCCAATCACCATCGACTTAGTGTGTCATTCGTAGTGCACACCTAAAATAACAACAACACTGTCGACTCACTGCTCTAGTATATGTTAAGAATAGCGTACATGTTTGATATTTCCTTATGTTTCACGAATAAATGTTGCTTTAAAAAACTACAGGTTTTTTTGTTCATTTATACATTGCACATATGGATGTTTGAGTCTATGTTAGTCTACGTGGTGTTACTGGCAGTCTGATAGTAGTTCCAAGCGTCCCAGCTTATGCTACTGATGATGATCATGTGATTATACTACATTACATCTGCCCTGTGTATAATCCGGTGATGAATAAGGCACCAGTATCCTATGATTGCTGCAAGAGCTGACTGGAGCGAATCAGGTGGTCAGAGTTGGTCATTCAGCTGTGTTGGTGTCATCCGAACCCAACGGCGTCGTATGCTTTCAGATAAACCTTCATGTTGTTTGTAAGGGAGTTTCCTTCATCTCCATTACATTTAATACCACTTAGTTTTCATATATACCTCAGGGGGCAGCCTGTACTAAATGCCTGATGAGTAGTATAACATGAAGTCCGTATCCTACCTAGAACTAACTGCTTGTCTCAACCACAGTGTTATGAACTGATTTTGACAAACAAACGAAACGTCATATGCTATGTCGGATTGTCGGATTGTCTTGTTCACATCTTGCATGAACTATCTGCCATATAGCTGCCCGAAGTGTGTTTCGTTTCGTTTCGTTTTATTGCGTAGTGCCCACAGACAACCCCCATTTCAGACAAACCAGAATAGTCCCTAGTTCGATAGATAGATTAGTATCTGCAGTGAGAGTATGCAAAATTGCGTCATATTTTCGAATGAAATTGAAAAGTTCATTCACTCCGGAAACGACAGGAAAACATCTGACAATCTAACACTAATATCATCATTATTACTGGAGAAAGTGAGGAAAGTGCAGAAATCCTGCATACGTGTCAGTGTGCCTGTCCACTTTACCGGATTCCCATGATAGGAGACAATTAATTGATACACCATAACTTATATTGATTGATATACTGCTCAACATCAACATATTGTGTGTTATCCCACACGAATTTATGCTTTTCGAGTAAAATAAAACCTCATCACACATATATACAAAAGAAACAAATCATATATACGAGTTTTATTGGTAATGATATGGCTTCTCTCGTCTCAATACTATGATCAAACACGCTTTTACGGCGTCTGAAGTAGACAGCTTACTCCACGTGGTGTTGACATTGAGAAGATTTGATAAGCAGCCTATAACCACTGAGTATGAATGAAAATATCCCCCCCCCCCCCCCCCCCCCCCCGTTGTGACAACTATGTAACTCAATGACATGGCGATTCATAGCCGAAAATCCGGAAATCCGAAGTCCGTGATTTAGAGAAATGACAGCAATTTGTTGATTACATACGTCTGAGATTTACAGTGTGCCGGTAAATTGTACAAGGGAGTCCCCCCCCCCCCCCCCCCCCCCCCCATCAGTTATGCATGTATAAACTGGGCTGGCTACATTGTGTTAGCTGTGTCACAATATCACACGCTGCGGATTCGAAGATGGGAAAATGATCATGGGGAATATTAGATCATGCTTGTCAGGATTTAGATATCGGGTAGGCCTTCTTTATCAACTGCAGTACATGTGAAAGAGACGGCCATCACTGTGTGACACATATAAGGGTCATACTTCGTGTCATGCATGTTAAGTGTGGTGGGACATACTATCATATGTAAAGACATGACGCTACAGAAGTGTCTGAAATAAAATGTTAGGTCACCTACGTGTAGCATGCTGATAATACAGGCATAAGGTAAGGATGTGCTGGGATCAGAGAGGGACGACAGGGGTTGCATCATATGTTTCCTGTGCATGAATGTGTTCGAATGTGTGCACATGTATATGTGAATGCACGAATTTCTCAATATTGTTGGTGTTTGTACATATGAAAGACTGGTAAAGATGTGATTATTGTTATTTATACTGTTATATATTAACGGCTATCAAAAATGTTTAAAAGTCTACAACTTTTGAGTTCCACACACCAAGGAATGTGTCGGAGTCTTTTGCTCTTTCCCGAGAATTGGCACGAAAGATAACCCATCCTTCCATATTAACCACCACTGACCGGCACAGAGCGGTACAATGATTTCATTTGTGTTCAGCGTTTTCTTTTGCTTTTACTGAAGTTGAACACATTGAACACATGCTTATGATGTGCGTTTAGTCGAGATCTATTCCAATTACAGAAAGGGTTTTATTTAAAGATGACGTAATTGAAGAATTCCATGAGGTCAAGTACGTGTGTTTCCAAATGTCATTCCTTTACAATGCCACACACCAACTGATGATAAGCTGGTATTGAGAAAGGAACAAATGTCATATATAGTAACAGGATATATATATCGTTTCTTCACCTCGTGTGTGATATGATATGCGACGTTGACTGTAACCTACATGTAACAAATGTAGTAGAATTATAATTCTGTGTAGCTGACGATGGGTGGGTGCTTAGGTTTGGTCTGTGCAACGAAATTTATCTTTCCTGAGCGACTGAATAATAACATCAGCGAATCGAAGATTACATTTTCTGCATGCTACGTTTCACACTAATTATATAAGATACCGTCAGCATGCATGATTTACTGTCATCTGGGCTTCAGATCTAGAGCTACACATTTTATCTGCCCTAGCTTAACATACATGTTCAGTTGTTTCACAGATATTCTACATATCAACAGCAATAGAAACGCTGTAGTGCAGCTCTGGCTGGAGACCACATTATAACAATTATCATCCCAGAGAGACATTAAAGTTGAGCAACTGCTAATTATCCATCCGTCCTTCGAAACGACTAGTCACTCTGCCTCATATGTACACGGGGAAGAGAGAATGAGTGAAGGTGTAATGTTTACGCAGCTTTTAGCAATATTTTAGCAATATCACGGCGGTGGGCACCAGAAATGGGCTTCACACATTGAACCCATGTGAGGATTCGAACCCGGGTCTAAGGCGTGACGAGCGAACACTGTAACCACTGGACTACCCTACCGCCCCTCACGGGGAAGAATGGGCAAGTGATAACTAATTGGGTTCTTCTGTCATTAGCCATCTGAAATTCTGGAAACTGAAATTGATGTAACGAACGAACTGTTAATAGAAATGTTGTTGATCATCACATTACCTGCGTTTGAAAGATGTTTTACAAGGCGTAGGAACAAAGAAAGTCAACGATTAGAATGTATGTGACATTATTGTCAACAAAATTCATGATACGTGGACCTTGCAGTGGATATTTGGAAGAGGTATGATAGTGTGTCCGTCTGTCCGTGTGGACGACTTGACTACAGCTGAAGAAGATCCAATCATAATTATAGTCCAATCATGGACATTTTCGTATTGCTGACACGTCTAACATCAAGTTCTGATCCATTCTATGGTCATGATTTCTAGATACTTATTTAGATTGAGACCTATTATCCTTTTTAAAAGACTATTTTTGGGACAATATTCCCATGTCTATTGTCTTCGTTGCAAGACTAACATATAAGTCATGACACCTTGAAAGGGCTGGCTTGGTTATTGACTCAACAGGCTCTCTTATCTACATGTGTAAGAGGCATACTGAACCGCATGTTGCGTTTGTGACCACACGCCAATTATCGACACTGCTGTGATGTTATTTCTTTATTATTGTTGGTCATAGTATTTGACAACAAACTTTAAATGCACGATAAGAGGTATAACCCCCACATAGGTCTATTATAATCTCTTTTACATACACACCATTTTGCCAAACTCCGCCTTTATATCAGTTTTGAAATCCGAGAATCCGAAATTCCTAAATCTTTGGTTGAAGCTATTGCGAGAGAGAGTGAGACGTTGTGTCCCCTCTCGTGCCGGGGCATCCCGCTGTGCTCACATATAGCTTAGAGGTTTTGATTTAGTCATACCAGTTGGAACACACAGAGTGGTGAACGTCAGTGTCATACATGTATAGGCAGCATGGGGAACATTGCCTCGTGCTTCTCTGGACTTCAGTGGCAGGTACGTCTTGATAACGCCCTTTTAGATATGTTCATTAAGGTGCAATAATGGTAGTAACATATGTACACATCATTTAACACTACACGTGTGGCATTCTGTATATATGCTTAATAGTGGATATAAGGTAACGAACATACGGTTCAAAGTCTTTATATACTCACTCCTGTTCCGCCAGACATTGTCTCTGTTTATCATTCCATATTCAGTGTTATTGTGTGGAAGTTTATCATCCCATATTAAGTGTTATAGTGGGGAAGTTTGATCCCACCTGAAGAATAATACTGTATTTGAGTTCAACGCCTTTCAGGAAATACTACAGCATATCATCTCAACACACAACTGATAGTGTGTGTTTTTCGTTCTAGAGAATGCACCAGTCAAGCAAAGAGCTGATCGAGTATAACATCCAACAGATCATAAGCAGAGGTGCGTTTACTATAACTGCCCATTAAATTGATAATTTTGTGCGACATTCTTTATCATAATTTGAAGATTTCATTTCAGAAATTTGGTAATATATGCCATGTGTTCAGCATAAACTTTCAACTTATTTTAATCGTTATTATGATGACATATATGTATATGGGAGGATATGTGCAACTTCTTTTTCTGTCAATTTGTATTGCTTATTTCGAATATCGATGAGCATTGGAGATAAATAAAGGTTAATTCGATACCACATGTCAATCACACAAAACAGAAAGAAACCTGTTGATGTGAGCCTTTGTAGTAGAATTGGTGTTTCATCAAGTAATACAGATTTCTGTGTAGGTTCAACACGCTGTGTGAATGAGAGACTGAAGACTCCTGTAACTCCACGAGATCTCGGACTTGTTGCGAGACATATCGGGATAGGATTTGAGCACGTCGGGATTGAACTTGGGCTCAGCGTTGTGGCTATTCAACAGGGCAGAGTTGCACACCCATCTTCAATGTATATGCAGATCTTGATTATGCTCACTAAATGGAAGCAGTGGAATGGCAGTTCGGCCACCTATCTGGACCTGGTCAAAGCACTATGGACATGTAAAGAGAGATGCACGATCGAATGGGAGGACATTCTCAACATCCTGCAGTGACGGCCCTCCTTGTCAGTGTAATTGCACCTCGGTCGGAGAAATATTACAAGAAATGAAACTTTGTTTTTATCATTTCGAACATGACTATCGTCATGCCTTTTAACCTTCTTCAGAGATATTGTAATCTCACCTCTACTTTACAGCGATCAGTAAACAGGGGGCATATCACCAGTCATCATGTTTGGGAAATAAATATATTTATCAAATCACTGTTTCTTTGTGTTCTCTGCATTTGCAAGTTTACCCTAAGAACTCGTGGAGTCAGATTGTACCAATGGCGGCTCCTACACGTGGAGTCAGATTGTACCAATGGCGGCTCCTACCGTTGGGCAGGACATGCGTGCACTTTCACAAAGACGTGGTGTCATCAGTGATTATCAGTTATCCATTCCTATAGTTTTCCCCCCTATTTTGCCTTTTACGCCCAATGGAATGTGTTTCGGTAGATAATCAAGACTGGTTATTCTCTGGCGTTGTATTTTTATTAAGTTTAGAATGCTACGGATTGGGGCTTACATGGGAAATATCTCCCGGAAATAATGAAAGTTCATAGTGATGCTTTTAATAAAGTCAGAATCGTAAAATGGAGTCGGCTTACAACAGCGATTTCTTGTGATTATGCAAAGGGTTTTGTCGCTCTTATCCATACAAACATCTCTGACGAATTCGAATACCTCCACCTCACAGTGATAGTGATAAATTACTCAGAAATTCACAAACTTTCTAAATTGAATTGAATAAAAAACTGATTATTCAAGTCAGTAATCAGAACATATTCGTAATTCGTAATTCGATCACAGTGCTATACAACCTTCATATTGTACATCGTTTCAAATATTCAAACCGTCCCTCTGTTTATATCACTAGAAATAGCATAAGTAAGCATATACGTTTTCTCTCCCTTTCACACAACCTGAACAATAGGTTACAGGTACAATGGTTGTGGTGATCAAAAGATCAAAGTTTCATGTACATGAAATGAAGAACAAATTTGCTTCATGGTATGATTTAAAACAGGAAAATACTATTTACATTTTGGAAAATGAGTTCAACACAAAACACAACATTTAAAGCCGTTTAAAAATCAGTGCACTTCATATCATTATACCTTTTGTCATTATTACGTACATTTGCCACATTCAGAAAACAAAGCCATTTTAGCCCAGTACGAACAGCTACAGGTGATGCTTCTATTGACAATACGCCTGTAAGCATTTTACCCACAGTATCCAGGTCTCGTCAGGATAACTTCCGTACTTTTCAAATGCTGACGTAATATCTGAAAACAGAGTTGCCTCCCTTTGACCAGCTACCGTAAACGTGGTATGCATTATTCAACCCTATCTATCCCTGACATTGTCTACAATTGACTTTGTTGACTGGATACAAGACGGGATAATGTTTGTAACGGCGTTGGTAGTACAGCTTGCGATAACATGTAATTGAAATGAAATCTTGATAATTTGAGATCGGCAAGGGACAATCACCATGTTTCGTCAATGACGGGTGTGAGTGGGGCTGAATCTAATTTCCTTTCTAATTAAATCTCCAGAGTGTGTGAGTGAGTGAGTTGGGTTCAACGCTGCTTTTAACAGTATTCCAGTTATATCACGGCGTGTCAGCTTAATGTGAGAGGAAAGCCCGAAGTGATGCAGGTCTCAGACGTTTACCACTTCGGTGAAACCCAACAGCACGGGTATGGTGCTGACAAACCTAGAAACATAATCTAGGCGCACCGGGATTCGAACCCACAATCACAGGTTTCTGGCGTGCCCAAGGGACGCAACTCTGCACAGCAAAAGGCGGCGCCTTAGACGACTGGGCCACTCGTGCCCCGAAAATCTTCAGACCTGACTTCACAAACAATATTCAGTATACGTTTGCCGAGCATAAATAAGCAGGCATTTTATTTATTTTTTCCCCTTAATTGTTTCATTCTCTGTAGAGGTGAGGCAAGGCAAAATGAGGTTTGAGGTTTAACGTTGCGTTCAAGAAAATTGCACTTATATGAAGTGACGTGCATGCACGCGTGTGTGTACATGTATGTGTGTCTTCTCATGTCGTTTTTACAGAACAAGCCACTGATACACCATGGCGAAGTTTTAACATGAACACCTCACTCTGACACAGTATACTGACCTCAAATTGACCAGTCTTATCCCCTTAATGCTGAGCGCCAGGCGGGGTAACAAGAGCACCACAATTAAACGTTACTGGGCAGATATTCTCTCCCTTTACGCAGATGCTTAAGGAAGTTCAGGCGTGGTATACATACCCTCACTATACAATTACACAGACATTCCAAAGATAATGATGCTTTAACATCGATGTGTCCTTTCTGCAAATATAACCAAGAAAATGAATACCATGTTTTATTGATATGTCCAGTATATGAGGATATAAGAATCAAATACCTGCCTGACTATTATTACACGAATCCATCACAAAGAAAATCTGTACAGTTAATGAACAGCAAAAATAGCCATATTCTTCTCAGACTTGTGTGTGTTTATAAGATATTTGAAAGAAGGATAATACATTGAATATAAATAAAACTGTGTACACCATATTTAGCTACAATCTAATCAGTATACAAGTGTTGCTTCACGAGGAATTGTTTTACAACAAAATGTCATTGTGCTATTGGCCTCATGGCCACACATACGAAATAAGTCTGTCTGATACTCTACCCATACGACAATGGAGGCGGTCTAGCCCACTTTATTTCAGAGCAAGGTATTTACAAATGCAATGGTGTATGATGACAATTCTAGAAGGCTGTCTACCTGTATACATATTCAGATATATACTCATAAAGGAACAATCGGACCCAATTGCCTCGAACTCCTGGGGACCAAAGAAATAGTTCGACTTATCCGAACTATTTGAATTCGACCTGGATCTTGATAAGTTTTACCTTTTAACTTTGGGGACTGTAAATTGAACTCAAAACACCCATGTCCAGCATTCAGGTAACAATACTATAAATATGGTAAGATGTTGGACTGTGATTTCGCCTGGACTCGTGGAATCGGCACATCCGAGTTCAAGACATCGGGGTTCGACTGTATATGTACGTCTGCATAATTGGATAAGGATTTTCATATATTTGTCACATGAATGAAACTGGTGACATTTTAGAAATTAAAATTAATCGCCTCTGTATGTTTAAATTGTATGGCACAGTGTTACGAGGGGATTTCCGAATTAAAACGCGAAGGTTAACTTAGAAAACGGTTCAAACTATATTGCCAAATCAGTAAATCAGCACAAAATATAAATGAATAAAAAACAACTTCTATTGAAAAACATAATTGTAGGTCTACAGTCACAAAGGGGTTATACAATGGGTCAACTATGGGCAATACATAACAGGCCACTTAACTAATGCAGCACTAACAAGAGTTATCTGATGATAAAAGTATATAAATTACACCATGAATGTTAGTACAATAGTGTTATTAGAATAGTGCTTCCAACATCTTTCGTTCCTTAGATACGTTTTCAGATACAATGTTTGTAATAAAAACGATATCTTACGGGGATTCGTTCAGTGATCTATCACATAATATGTCACATACGAATATGTCAGATATCATGGAAGAATGTAAAACTGGTTGGTTTTCCCCATGACTATAAAGTCTGTATTTGTTTAAGGGACACAGCTCAAAGTATTCTATTTGATCTTAGCATTTTCATGTTTGCCAAGACATCATGGAAATTAATAGGATAAATTGCTTTGAAATAAAACAGTCATTATATTCCTGAATATGAGGTCACCGTGAACATACTTTAAAGTCTATATTGCATGTACAACAGGTTACATGGCTTCGTATTGGGAGTGAGACTTCACTACTCTGACACTGGAAATGGTGCAGAAACAAATCAAAGTGACAATACCGACTATGATAGAAAGACAACCACGTGTTCCTGCAAGTACATATTTTACACAGCGACATGTAGCTGCATTGTGTACGTCAAGCTGTACTCACTCCCACTAATTTCAACAAAATACTTTGCTTTAATAAAGTTCGGAACACACTGAAATCTGCATATGTCCAGTTATAAACATTTGTAAGAAACTGTTTTGTAATCTTCTCAACATTAAAGTTAGCCATGTTCCTAGAATTTGTAACGTACAATGTTTTTTTTATGGAATCGAGATGCATACAGAAACGTCAAAACTTCATCGACACAAATCACTCCCACGGGGGTACGGGTGGCCCAGTCGTCTAAGGCGCCGCGATTCGCTGTGCAGAGTTGCGTCCCTTGGGCACAACAGATACCTATGATTGTCCAGGTTCTCACAGATTGTGTTTCTAGGTTTGTCAGCACCATACGCGTGCTCTTGGGTTTCACAAATAACTCGTTATTTTCTGCAAACCGAATTCGGACGACTGACCCCTAATGGAGGTTGTAAAACTGTATATGTATACTGTAACATTGGACACATCATAATAACAATGATAACTCCTTTCTAGACCACTTTTAGAGCTGCAGCAGCTCTATCTTTTCCCCAGACTCAGTGTAGTGAATGATGGTATTCTCAGAATTACTAGTGGTATCTGAACTAGGCAATGTGTCACCAACTACTGGAGCATGGACATAGGTGGGAACATGACTTGAGATTCCATATATGGTTTCTGATCTTTGATTGCGTGAACGTATCTCCATGCGTGCAGGATCTGTAAGGAGGTTGTTAAGATTTCCGTCTATATGATATGGTTGGGATGACTGCAAGGCGATCTCTTCCATAACACTTTGTCTGTCTGTGGAAACTGCTTGTCCCAGTTGACTCGGAACATAAACCCCTGGCAATTCTACTGATGTGTGGTTCACGGGACACGTTGATGTTGGTGGTGTGGATGTAAGCCAACCGCCATTGTTATAGCTTCCGTGTGGAACTGACGATGATTTCATAAGAAACTGGCCATCGGTTGTCACCCTGAAACAATACCACATGCACTTGACACAACATTTCAGAGAAAATAGGACTTAATCAAAATAGTGATGCTATTGTGACATATAATACAAAATCAAGATGTAAAAGCCTCCAGCGCTTACGAATTCGTATCTAATGAAAAAGACTCCAAACTAAATGGAAGCCCCATTTACTCATGAACGTAAACCACTGAATCATTCAATATTATACACAGTGGAGCCTAATTAATTTCAAATATTGGTTAACATAATTTCAGTGTTTTGGCAAAGTCCCCATTGACATATGTAGCCCATGGAAAATAAGGTTCCACTTGGAACAAATAGCAATAGAGTTCATTTCATCACAATGCATTTCTACAAGGTCCCCAAAACAACATACTTAAAGTCCCAAGCAATCCCAGTTTGGGAAATATGTCTAATTTACATAATCCAATATGGCAACCAACTGTCAATAGTATTTTCCTTATTTCAGATGAGGTTCAATGTTTTGATGAAAAACAGCTTGTGTTGTGTTGCAAAATAGCCATATTATGTTTCTAAAAATATATTCATAACTATTGATCGTTTTCGACTATTGACAAATCTACAAAACATCAAGATGGCCGGCAATTTCAAGATGGCCGACACATTTCCTAAATATGAGTTTAGAATGTTGAAGCTTTTATATCTGAAACAGTGTGCTGGGACTAATATGCATAAAACTTGTCACACTAACTGACTGGCCCAAAATTCCAAGATGACCTCCAAGACATGGACAGACATGGAATATCAATACACTGTTGGTCTCTCATGACATATTTGATTTATTGATTTGGGACTTTTAGAATGTTCTTTGGGGGGCCTTGTAGAAATGCTCTGTCCATATTCTTAGATAAATGATAGATATTTTGATAAATCTCTGATGGTACTGTCCTCTTCGAGGTCTCATATGGTTTCGTGAGATTTCAAAACTGTTCTGCAAAACAGCGTATACAATATATGTGTTTGGGCTGTCAACTCAAGCATGATTTCCACATTGCTCTCACCTATCTTAAATTGTACCATGGTTGGTTGTCAGGTCATGTAAAGTTGTTGCCTCAGTTATAATCCTTGCAATATCATCGTAATGTTGTGCCTCTGCTTTTTGTAAAGCAGTTTCTTCTTTATCGTCTTTCTCATAAACATTTGCCTTGTTCTGTAATAACACCTCCACAACCTCCCTGTGTCCTTGCAAGGTTGCATCATGTAGAGGTGTGCAGCCTTCCTTATCTTTCTCATCCACATTTGCCTTGTTCTGTAATAACACCTCCACAACCTTCCAATGTCCCTGCTGGGCTGCATCATGTAGAGGTGTGCTCCCTTCCTTATCTTTCTCATCCACATTTGCCTTGTTCTGTAATAACACCTCCACAACCTCCCTATGTCCCTGCCAGGCTGCATCATGTAGAGGTGTGCGGCCTTCCTTATCTTTCTCATCCACATTTGCCTTGTTCTCTAATAACACCTCCACAACCTCCCTATGTCCCTGCCAGGCTGCATCATGTAGAGGTGTGCGGCCTTCCTTATCTTTCTCATCCACATTTGCCTTGTTCTCTAATAACACCTCCACAACCTCCCTATGTCCCTGCCAGGCTGCATCATGTAGAGGTGTGCGGCCTTCCTTATCTTTCTCATCCATATTTGCCTTGTTCTGTAATAACACCTCCACAACCTCCCTATGTCCCTGGGAGGCTGCACGATGTAGAGGTGTGCGGCCTTCCTTATCTTTCTCATCCATATTTGCCTTGTTCTGTAATAACACCTCCACAACCTCCCTATGTCCTTGCCAGGCTGCATCATGTAGAGGTGTGCGGCCTTCCTTATCTTTCTCATCCACATTTGCCTTGTTTTGTAATAACACCTCCACAACCTCCCTATGTCCCTGGTCGGCTGCGAGATGTAGAGGTGTGCTGCCGCCTTGATGTTTCTCATCTACATTTGCCTTGTTCTGTAATAACATCTCCACAAGCTCCCTATGTCCATGGTAGGCTGCAAGATGTAGAGGTGTGTTGCCATCATTACGTTGTTCATCCACATTTGTCCTGTTCTGTAATAACACCTCCACAACCTCCCTATGACCGTGGTAGCCTGCAAGATGTAGAGATGTGTTGCCATCATTACTTTTTTCATCCACATTTGTCCTGTTCTGTAATAACACCTCCACAACCTCCCTATGCCCCTGCCAGGCTGCAAGATGTAGAGGTGTGTTGCCATCATTACGTTTTTCATCCACATTTGCCTTGTTCTGTAATAAAACCTCAACAACCTCCCTTTGTCCCTGGTAGGCTGCATCATGTAGAGGTGTGCTGCCATCATTACGTTTCAAATCCTTATTTGCCTTGTTCTGTAATAACACCTCCACAACCTTCCTATGTCCCTGGGAGGCTGCACGATGTAGAGGTGTGCGGCCTTTCTTATCTTTCTCATCCACATTTGTCTTGTTCTGTAATAACACCTCCACAACCTCCCTATGTCCCTGGTAGGCACCGTCATGTAGAGGTGTGCCGCCATCATTCTGTTTCTCATTCACATTTGCCTTGTTCTGTAATAACACCTCCACAATCTCCCTTTGTCCCTGCCAGGCTGCACGATGTAGAGGTGTGCCGCCATCATTACGTTTCTCGTCCACATTTGCCTTGTTCTGTAATAACACCTCCACAACCTCCCTTTGTCCCTGGTAGGCTGCATTATGTAGAGGTGTGCCGCCATCATTCTGTTTCTCATTCACATTTGCCTTGTTCTGTAATAACACCTCCACAACCTCCCTATGTCTCTGCCAGGCTGCACGATGTAGAGGTGTGCCGTTATCATCACGTTTCTCATCCACATTTGCCTTGTTCTGTAATAACACCTCCACAACCTCCCTTTGTCCCTGGCAGGCTGCATCATGTAGAGGTGTGCTGCCATCATTACGTTTCTCATTCACATTGGCATTGTTCTGTAATAACACCTCCACAACCTCCCTATGTCCCTGGTTGGCTGCAAGATGTAGAGGTGTGCGGCCTTCTTTATCTTTCTCATCCATATTTGTCTTGTTCTGTAATAACACCTCCACAACCTCCCTGTATCCCTGCCTGGCTGCATCATGTAGAGGTGTGGGGCCATCATCACGTTTTTCATCCACATTTGCCTTCTTCTGTAATAACACCTCCACAACCTCCCTATGTCCCTGGTTGGCTGCAAGATGTAGAGGTGTGTTGCCATCATTACGTTTTTCATCCACATTTGCCTTGTTCTGTAATAACACATCCACAACCTCCCTATGTCCCTGCTGGGCTGCAAGGTGTAGAGGTGTGCTGCCTTCCTTATCTTTTTCATCCACATTTGCATTGTTCTGTAATAACACTTCCACAACCTCCCTATCTCCCTGCCAGGCAGCATCATGTAGAGGTGTACTGCCGTCCTTATCTTTCTTATCCACATTTGCTTTGTTCTGTAATAACACCTCCACAACCTTCCTATGTCCCTGCCAGGCTGCAAGATGTAGAGGTGTGCGGCCATCATGACGTTTGTCATTCACCTTTGTCTTTTTCTATAATAACACCTCCACAACCTCCCTATGTCCGTGCTGGGCTGCAAGATGTAGAGGTGTGCTGCCATCATCACGTTTGTCATTCACCTTTGTCTTGTTCTGTAATAACACCTCCACAACCTCCCTATGTCCGTGCTGGGCTGCATCATGTAGAGGTGTGCGGCCATCATGACGTTTGTCATTCACCTTTGTCTTGTTCTGTAATAACACCTGCACAACCTCCCTATGTCCATGCCAGGCTGCAAGATGTAGAGGTGTGCGACCTTCCTTATCTTTCTCATCCACATTTGCCTTGTTCTGTAATAACACCTCCACAACCTCCCTATGTCCCTGGTCGGCTGCAATGTGTAGAGGTGTGCAGCCATCATCACGTTTGTCATTCACCTTTGCCTTGTTCTGTAATAACACCTCCACAACCTTCCTATGTCCCTGCCAGGCTGCATCATGTAGAGGTGTGCTCCCTTCCTTATCTTTCTCATCCATATTTGCCTTGTTCTGTAATAACACCTCCACAACCTCCCTGTGTCCCTGGGAGGCTGCACGATGTAGAGGTGTGCGGCCTTCCTTATCTTTCTCATTCACATTTGCTTTGTTCTGTAGTACCACCCCCACGACCTCCCTATGTCCATGCCAGGCTGCAATATGTAGAGGTGTGCTGCCGTCTTGATGTTTCTCATCCACATTTGACGTGTTCTGTAATAACACCTCCACAACCTCCCTATGTCCCTGGTAGGCTGCATCATGTAGAGGTGTGGGGCCATCATCACGTTTATCATGCACATTTGCCTTGTTCTGTAATAACACCTCCACAACCTCCCTATGTCCCTGGTCGGCTGCAAGATGTAGAGGTGTGCCGCCATCATCACGTTTGTCATTCACCTTTGCCTTGTTTTGTAATAACAACTCCACAACCTCCCTATATCCTTGCCAGGCTGCAAGGTGTAGAGGTGTGATGCAATCATTACGTTTCTCATTCACATTTGACTTGTTCTCTAATAACACCTCCACAATTTCCCTATGTCCCTGGTAGGCTGCAAGGTGTAGAGGTGTGCTTCCATCATCATGTTTGTCATTCACCTCAGCCTTGTTCTGTAATAACACCTCTACAACCTCCCTATGTCCCTGCTGGGCTGCAATGTGTAGAGATGTGCTGCCATCATCACGTTTGTCATTCACCTTTGCCTTGTTCTGTAATAACACCTCCACAACCTCCCTATATCCTTGCCAGGATGCAAGATGTAGAGGTGTGCAGCCATCATTATCTTTCACATGAATTATTCCCTTGTTCTGTAATAACATTTTAACAACTTCTGTGTTTCCATATATACATGCCAAATGAAGCCCAGTTTCACCCTTCTTGTTTTGCTTACCAATGTCCACTAGTTCCTGTAACAGATAGCTTACAAAGCTAACATTTCCAACTGCACATGCGTAATGTAAAGGTGTTGATCCTTCAGGGCCTGTTATATTGACATTCAGTTTTCCCATTTTCGTAATTGTATCCATGGTATCTTTGCCCTTTAGGCACAAGGATGCAAAATGTACATATGTATTTTGGGGGGTATTTTTTTTCTTGTTCATCTTTATCAAATAAGACAATCTGGAAGCCACTGCAAACAACCCACCCATACAGGCAATGTCCAAAAGTGAACATTTACCAAACTTTACTCCCAGATCATCTACAACTGCCAACTGCAGTTTGATGATAAGAGGTCTTGGGAGTTCGGGTAGCGTCATACACAACGTATCCAACTTCCAGTCATTTTTTGAACACAAGTACTCGAAGTTGGCCAAACTACTCCCAAAGCAACTTCCAAACAAAGCTTCCTGTCTGTTCTTTACCTCAAACTGAACACTGTTCAATGCTTTCTTCAGCAAATTCGAGTTGTCTGTGATGCTCGCCCAAAACAGAAAGGAATATCCATATATAATGTCATTTTTTGACAATACTTTCAACAGTTCAGATCTGTCCTTGTTCAGATTATGCAAGAGATTCTCCCAAACCATATCAACAAATGCCTCTACCTGGAATAGGGAATGCATGCACACAAAGGCAAACTTTCTGCCATACACAGCTGTAGCAAACCGCTTCGCTACAATATGCAGATCTTCATGTTTCAATTCGATTTTAAAAGGCACATCTAGTTGTTCCTCTTCGGTTGGATCCCCGCTAGATGTCACATAACGAAATATGAACTCGAGATCCATCCTTTCAACCAACTGTCTCACATCACTGAGCAGTATTTCTCTTAGCTTTATTGCTACTTCATGATTTCTTATTCTATATGAGCCTGCTTCATGATGGAGACAGCATCCCGCCAATTGGGATAAAATATGTTTCATCATATTTTCAGTGTATTCTTCTTCATTGATGTCAAAAACCTTGAGTGCCCAAACAATATATTTTTTGTAGGTTTCTCTTTCCACGCGAGTCCCTGTGTCAGACCCTGCCCATAGCATCCTCTCCTCCAGGTTATTCTCCGCCAAAGCAACCACTAACAAGCACGCCATCTTCTGCTTATGCAACAGGTGCTGATCCAAACATGGATAGTCCTCTGTATCTGTGAAAACAAATAACGTTTGTAAGAAAGCAGTGTACAACATTGCACATGTAGATCTAAAGTATAATACCTTGCGTAACGCCTTACAATTACGTAACAAAGTAATGATCTCCAGAATGCATACTTTCATCACTGGCGACAGCACAGTCGGTTCCTTCATGTGTTTTATGTCCAT